GACGGCAGGACGGCAGGATGGCAGTACCATGGCAGGACGGCAGCATGACAGGACGGCAGGACGGCAGCATGGCAGGACGGCAGGATTAACGGGGGCCAGTAGTAGGTACTAACAGGTTGTATGACGAGACGGGTAGGTAAGACACACCATTTATAACAGACAAGTTACGAAAGGCGATATCCGAGATATGTTAACCCTGTTTTTGCTTAGTGTCTGTTAGTGTTAGTTTTGTTTAGCCGTGATATATACGGTCAATATATACGGTGATGATATGTATTAAAGATAGAATTCGTATATCTGATCCGTGATATGACGGGTGCGGGATGATTGGCTGATAAAGGGACATTTTAACGGACGGTTTAACGCTGATGGGTTAAACGCGCATTCATGTTATAGAACCTAATGGTCATTTACTGCGTATACCATGACTTAAAACTCATGGTCATTTCAGCGTATANACACACACACACACACACACACACACACACACACACACACACACACACACACACACACACACACACACACACACACACACACACACACACACACACACACACACACACACACACACACACACACACACACACACACACGAATGGACGCAAAACGTACGTGCACACGAACGTATACCGAACACATACGTACACATCAAGAGCGTATTAAGTGGATATAATATATATATATATGAAAGGTACCTGCTGCATATACCGGTCAGTATAAACAATCTGGCCACGTTATAGTTTGCGCATGCGCATTATCTCACCAGAGGAGTCATATTTTGCAATGAATACGCATTTAATATGGTCAGGGCGTATCCCAGCATAGAATTATGTAATAAATTGTTATCAGTAGACCTGTGTTTATAATTCGTAGAGCGCCCTAGCCTGTTGGGTGCAAAACTCTTAAGTCATCCCCTCGCGTCCTGCCCCTCGCCTCCCTTGTCCCTCGCCCAGCCCCATTGCTTTTCTATCGCCCATCAACTATCTTCCCTGCCGCCTTCCCTCAATCTCCCACCCCTCTGTCTACCTCAGCAAGTTATATTATGCAGGTTTTTTTCAGAGCGTACTGCACGCCTGAAACGGTGCTCGCGCATGCGTAATATCCCTGAGAAGAATACTATTTTTCAAAAAATATGCATTTAAAATGAAGAGGAGTTATCCTGGCATAGATTTATATAATAACATTTCATCAGTAGACCGCTCTTAAGAAATAGGAAAAAGACCTTGCATGTAAGGTGCCCTCAGCATATACCAGTCAGTACACAAGCTGGTTACGTTAGTGTGTTAACGCAAGCACAATATTTCACCAGAGGAGTAAATTATTTTGTCATGAATATGGTTAGGTGGTATCTCAGCATATCTTTATGTAATAAATTGTTATCTGTATACCTGTGTTTAAAATTAGTAGAGCGCCCTAGCCTGTAGGGTACAAAACTCCTACTTAATCCCCTCCCGTCCTTCCCCTTACCTCCGTTATCCCTCGCTCAGCATCCTTCTTCTTCCACCGCCCCTCCTCTGCCGCGACTGCGTCCCGTGATTTCATTTGTTTCTCTTTGCGAACTATAGCTGTCCCGGCGATTTCATTCGCAAATCGTTATATAGTTTTACTTGTGCGGCAAGTGGCACAATGCAATATACGTTTCAGGATTGCATACACACACACCACACACACACACAAGCACGCACACCACACACACACACACAACACACACACAGGCACACACACACACACAGGCCATTCACCACGACACATACACATACACACACATACATACCACACCTACATACATACACTATAGCACGCACGCACACACACACACACACACTGCCAACACGGCACACCACACACCCACAGCACACCTACACACACACACAGCACACACAGGCACACAACACACACACACTAATACACATCACACACACAAGCACGCGCTGCGCACTCGCGCTGCGCGCGCACACAACACACACACACAACACGCCACACACAACAAACCACAAACCACAGGCACACATCATACACATACACATACACACACATACATTGACACATCACACACTTCGCTTAGAAATTGACGTCGTGACATCTACGATTTGGACTGTACATATTACATTACATATATTTCATTTATTGATTACATTTTTACATTTACATTACATTACGTTTTTATTTTTAATAATTGTTTCACTTACTACAATTATCACATAAATTTATATCATGCACGTTGCACATTAAAAAGTCATCCATAAGATTTAATAATTAAAAATCTACAGTTCGCCACGTTTTCTCATTTATTAGTTTATTTTGGATAATATTTTACGTGTTAATGATAGCTTCAATAAAATTATAGGGCCAAAAAACAACAAAATCATCAAGGTTCCGTAAGATTTCATGCATTGATATATATATATATTTTATTATATAGTTCTTTTATATAGTTCCACATTCCGAGTATTTGCAAGTTAACGCGCAACACTACACTTGAATTAAAAGTTACGCGTTACATTAACATTTATTATTACATTAACAGCAGTTTTATTTTATTTATCATTATTACGATTTTTATTATTATTTTTACTATTTTGCTGCATTGATTGCAGACACACTTAATGCTACTATAAACTAATTATGCACGACACGTTTGAACAATAAAATGTCACCCTATTAAGATTTTCAATATTAACATCTACATTTCGATATGTTACCTTTAATTATTCCTTTTTCCTCAATCAAAATTTATACGTTTTGAACATTAATACGTCTCGATTCTTAATTTCAACAGATTCCTGATCACTTTTAGCACAGTTTGATTTTAGGGGGGGGAAAAAAATTCTGCGACACGATTGGCTCGGGATTTCGATGAGATGAGGCTGAGCCAAAAGCTATAGTGTGCCATCCAGTTCGCCTGTCTATTTGGGTTAAATAAGGGGGTCGCGCATTATACATGTTCACAAGACGTGATGGCATTATGTTATTGTATACATTACGATGGTATTATAAATGTATTTATAAGAGAGATAAACAATATTATAATATAGATTTACTTATCTATTGTGTATTCAGTCCTGTATTTATCTATGTAACATTAGAATCAGCATATATAGAACATATATGTTAATATTATTCCATAGAGCGAGTTTGACACAACGCCGTATATAGACAATCACACACACAACACACACATATATATATATATATATATATTATATATATATATATATACGATTATGTGTGTGTGTGACGTGCGAGCGCTGAATCTCTCTCTCGCTCTCTCCCCATCTTATATAATATATATATATATATAATATAGATAATATATATAGGTAGACATACTCTCTAATCCTGCATCTAATTACATCATCATTTCGATAAACTATGGTTCTTGTTCCGCGTTTGGTTGAAATGGTGCAACAGCAAGCATTTTACAACCGAACAGTTCCCTTACGGCTAGCCAAAGGTCTATGCACTTGTAGAAGTAAATGCCCGGATTCAGTAGTGAATTAAATACCATCGCAATCGTTCTAATGGTTCGCAGTGTCCGAAGCCCTGCCGAGTAGCTTCGGATCAAGTACATGTGGATGACGTTTGGCGCAAGAAGAATACACGAAGTTCCAACAACCATAAGTATGATCTTTGACATTTTCAATATCGAGTGGAACGTAGTCATGGCTTCTCTTTCCGCATGTGATGCTGTGGCCATCTTTCGCACATGGTCCAATGTGATCTTGCCGATGATGGTGTAACAGTAAAACATGAAGATAAATCGAAGAATGTAGTGACCGGAATAAAAATATATAAAATTCGCCGAAAGTTCCAGGTCTGTGATGCACGGTGACGTCGGTTGCCAGCTATATAATACTTGGATGGATGCTACAATGCCAAGTACGATCGCGTACATCAAGCATGACGCAATAAGCCACCTAGTCCGTGCAAGGGACATCAGCCGGTTGTAGTGTAGTGGAAGAGCGATCGCCACGTACCTGTTGAGGGTACAGAGCACAATGCCTGTCAACGAGGCTTGAAGAATCGTGAGAGCAAACCCCGTAAACACGGCGCACTAGCTCGGCATCGTATCGCGAGGTGCGAGTGCTGCTGCGAGCAAACAACCCATCGTATAATCGCAGCAGGCCAGATTGACGATCGTTATGTTCGCTGCCGTTTGCATCCTGCGTAACTTTGCTATACGATGACAATCACAAGTCCATTGCCGACCATCGTGACTAGCGCAGTCAGTACGAAGACAGTCGTGAAGACAGGGTTACCAAACAGCCACCTAACTGGTAGACGAGAGCATTTGTAGAAGTAAAGGAGTGAGAAGTGAATTAACTATCACCGCGGAAGTTCGAAAAACCCAGAATGTTTGGAGTTTTTGTGACGGAAAGTTATGGATCAGCATTATGTGGAACACGCGCGATAAAAGTAGATGACGTACCGACGACATTAAGTATGATCTTTGACATCTTCAGCGTCGCGTGCGTTTAATAATAAAAATTAATTAGATATAATTTGTCATGGGCGAATGATGTATTTCTTCATCCTGTCCATTTCGCTGCCAGAAATGTTTCCCACGCGACCCCACGCCAGGAATGCCGGTCCAGTGAAGAAATCATGGCAGCTTCATTCTTCACATCACATCAGCTTTATTCAGCATCAACGCGGTCTCATGGAACCTCAGGCCAGTAAACACGCGATACCCGACTTCCTCCTGACTGGTGAAGGCAAGCGGTCTGCATGCAGTGCCATCCAGTCAATCTCCCGCTGCCACCGCGTCCATTTCCTCCAGACGAACGCGCGAAACTGGACACGCAGACGTTCTGATAGTATCGTGACGTAAAGCGTTCTGCTATTTTTGTGAATATATTTTCCCCGTCATATCGTATTCGAACGTCCTCGAATCTCGGACTAACGAGAACAAGACAGCGAACGAACAACATTCGAATCTATAGAAGACTACGATGCAATAGAACGATCACGTACAGACAAAAAGAACGAACACCATGTCGAATCTAGATGAATCTTTATAAAATGTTTAATGATGTTTGATACATATAAATCAGTTTACATCATTCAAATATTTATATGTAATTAATCAATCAATCAATCAATACACTTATGGTTATGATATGTAACAATATTACAGTTCTAAACTTACACAGATCATAATTGGTTTTAAACGTCTGTTGCACTGGAAAACCACATGTGTAATTATCAATTACGTTGCACTCTTGATACCCTATTTCTGCTAGTGCACCATGACCCCTATATACCTACCGATTTGTAACAGCAGTACCAGCAAGAAAACCAGCCGAAAAATCCACAAAGAGACCAACGCTTGAAGGCAAGGCAAAACTAATGATATGTGAAAGAGCAGTGCTCAGCGAATTTTGTAATACATCTGACGTCACAACGCGGTCAGCCTCCTCATTGTTCGCGTAGACTGGCTCCTTATCTCTTCACTTCGTTAGGTCAAATAACGTTAAACGAAAGCGGGGTGCCAGTCTACAGCTCGCGTCGCAAATGCAGCCGTGAAGCGGCACCAGGTTGCCACGGGCAACGCGCGCAATGCTATTTTGTTTTTTTTCCGTTCTGAACTTTGCCGATCGCACGCCACGATATCCCCCGATTCTCACTTCTTAGGAACTAACTACTACTACGTCGTTCCTACACGGTCACATAGCACCACCGCGCTCACAGGCCACGCACTGATATGAAAGATAAGCTCCAAGAAATAAGCCCCACAGCCGACTCCGGTGGTCGTCACCATGGCAACGCTCCTGCGCGCGCGGATGCGGTGGATGAGGCAGGACTGACAGAGAAACCGTTCCCCTTCCGTCAGTGCCGGCAGATGGCGCAACGGTCGAGTTTCGGCTGTCGCTAACGGCCACAAGAGCGTCTGCGTATTTTATTTCTAGATACAGATAATTGTTCACGCGCACCCAATTTAACCAGAACGCGGGCTTCATATTTCGACAGTACCTACTCGGTTGAGTTTCAATTTGCTGAAAAATCCACAAAATATTTTGATTTTATAAAAAATACATTATTAATATCATTTCTTTTATAAACCGACACGGGCCGCGCGGCGTGGGCCACTCGTAAGTATGGTAACCCGGTGGCACATCACATTACGGCCACATCACCTCGATGATTAACGCAACAAATAGTTATATTAATGTCTCTATACTGTAAGCTAGTTAGTAACTATGGATCACACTGCCTGTGTATACTGTGCCTTATGCGTAATAGCCAGACAAGCAATTGTAAAGCCATCACAGCATGGGTTAGTGATGCCTCTAAGCACCGCAACGACCCCCACACAGCGGATTAACGAAAATAATTCAAATCGCCTAACAGTTCAACATAATCTATATAATCCATACGGCTACCTTAAATTATTCAGCACACATTTAATACTCGGTACTGACTACGACTGCTCAAACAAAAATCCAAAGCTTATATTATACGCTTATAATCTTATGTATGTATATATATATATATATGTATATATATACATGTACATATACATATCTCTCGTTAGTATGAACCTAAGTTAGCAGCGGAACCCAATAGACGGTAAGGTGTATTTGGCATGCGTCATCAGCATCCTTGTCACAGAGTGTTGGGTGGGCGTGGGGAGAAGGCGGGAGGGAGAAGGTAAGGGGGAGAGGGGGAGTGTCTGTGTACAAAGAACCACCCCTATGGACAACAATCATCAGCCCGATGAACCGAGTGTAAGCGAGAGTCCCTCTGAATCCCGCAGAGAAGGCTAGTCTAACATGGAAGTGCCCCGCGCCCATATTCGGTCCCGGCTACGCACGGGCACCGCCATTGCCGCGACCGAGCGTTTTCAACATGGCTGTTACATTACTCTAGAAGTCGCTTTCTCCGTCTGTGTATCGGCCACCCCCAGTGGCGCCCTCGCTGTCTGACGGGCCTTCTCCCTCCTTGTACTTGGCCTTTCGGATTGCTAACAGTCGGTAGCGTGCCTCCTGCAAAAGATGACAGAAATTGTATAAAAAGAAGTCTTCAAGTAGAAGTCTTCAAGTAAAATGCCTCTAGTAGTCTATGTAGTCCGAGTCTATGCAGTCTATGGAGTCCATGTAGTCTGAGTCTATGTATTGTAGACTCAAGTAGATCTTCATGCACATACTGCTATGTAAGTTGAGCCCCAAGTTCCACGTGGTTTACCAGCCATCCCATGAGTACTACGCGTTGTCAGTTACCCTAGACTTCTTCATGGTCTATAATCCATGCCAGAATAACACCTGGTTTACTAGGCTTATAAGGTTTAGTTTTACTATTAGGTTAACTATTTAGGTTTACTAGGCTATCCCAGAAACACGCAGGGTTTTAGCCACAGCTATGACACACACCTCTACCTGGTTTATAAACATCACAGGTTCGCTTAGGTTGGTTACCCATGCCAGCTCCTTGCGCAGTTTAAAACATCCAAGATCCTTCTATCTCCTATCAGTTCAAGTCTCACACCCAGTGAGTCCAATAAAAAATCCCAGATCTCCCAAAGGTTTGCTAGCCGTGCCACGATCCCGCGCGATATATGCTTACCTCTAGCTCCCGCTCTTTGCGCAGTATCTCTTCCTGTGCAGATATCTCCTGCGCAATCCCACCGACAAGTCGCTTATTGATGAGGATGTAGCGATCAGTCTCCCACTCCTGTGTCTCCTGGGCCGCTTGCACTAGCAGGTCAGATGCCTTCTTCACTGCGTTTCCGGCCGTCTGCAAAACAATAATAATCCAAAAATAATAATAAATTTATAATTTAAAATCACACGAAACGATGAGTGGTTAGAATGCACGCACACACTTGCTCGTACTTTCTAACAACTCATCGCCTGGTGTGACATTAAAATACGAGTTACATTTTTGTTCAAGTATCCTGTGGGGGTTGTCCCTGTTTTTGAATATTCTGATTGCTTTGGATGATAGATTTGCGTAACTGCAATCCAGCTATCCATCCGGCCATTTTCGTGACATATTCCCCCTTTATTTATTATTGTGAAGCATGCATATAATTGCAACTATGTATAACCATAGGCCTACTGAAGCACCATGTTTGAAAGTTCGAAAAAGTCCCCAAAATGCACTGCCCTTTTTGGAAATGCAAAACTTGATTATCCCACTCAAAGGGAAACAGACAAAAAACGGTCTTTACAAGACAAGTGGCTGGTCTATAGAGGTGGCTTCACTGTGTGACTACCACCCAAGGAAAACCCCAAAGGTTGCCTTTGCAGACAGGCAGTAGTAGTATCGTACGGCGTCAACATCACATCTCCACAGCCCCACTGGCAATCCAGTTGCAAAAGAGTTTGCCACATTCATTTACGGTGACATATACCCCCCCCCCCCTATTCCCATCACTGGACAGTTAACGTGGTCAGGTGTGGTAGTTCCACGACGGTGACCGCTAACCCAGGTTCAACTGCGCCCATCACTTTCCCACGCGCGCGCGTCAGAGGTGACACTGCCCTGCTGTGTGATTGTGAGGTGACACTGCCCTGCTGTGTGACTGTGAGGTGACACTGCCCTGCTGTGTGATTGTGAGGTGACACTGCCCTGCTGTGTGAGCTGAGTGATGCTACCCTGCTGTGTGACTGTGACGCTACCCTGCTGTGTGACTGTGACGCTACCCTGCTGTGTGACTGTGACTGTGTCTGTGACGCTGCCCTGCTGTGTGACTGTCACTGTGCTTGCGTATGTGCTTACCTGCAGACGGATCATTGTCGGGGAGTCGGAGTGCATCTTCACCTTGCACGCGACGAGCAGCTGCGCTGTGGAGCTCGCAACCTGCTTAGCCGACGATATCAGCTTCTCCTCACCGGCCATGCCTGCACGCAAACAGACACCAGACGTCAGCATAGCAGACACCAGACTCAGTATAGCAGACACCACGTCAGTATAGCAGACACCACGTAAGTATCAGACACCAGACGTCTCAGTATAGCAGACACCACGTAAGTAACCGACACTGTACGTCATTATCAGACACCGTACGTCAGTATCAGACAGCGTGCGTCAGTAATAGACACCGTGCATCAGTATCAGACACCGTACGTCAGTAACAGACACCATGCATCAGTATCAGCCACCGAACGTGAGTATCAGACGTGATGTAGGTAACTGGCGGTAATCACAAGACAACGTGCCACGATTGCGATCAACAGACACCACGTAGGGAGCTGGCTGTAATGGTAAGACAATGCGGCGTGAGTATAATCGACATTGCACATGTATTGCAGCGAATGTTGAGTGGACAGAGCAAGGTGGTTGTAACCATGGCTGGGGGCATATAATTTTAATCAATTTTTACGCGAATGCAGAAAAAATCAGCATTATTGGGAGACGCTGTGACGGATTGACAGCGCGTACCTTGCACCACCGCATTAGCTGCTTCGCACAGGCTCTGCGTTGCCGCGGCAACCATCTGTGCAGCGGATATGAGACCATGTGACCACTGGCTGTCGTCTGCCGCATAGTGAGAGCCGCCGCTGATCTGTAAAGAAAACACAAGAACATCACATACGTGACGACGTATCAACCGGTCTATCTCTAGCCTCAATCACAATCCCAGTATACAGTAGAAGTACAAAAATCCGGACTGCTCGGGGATTGGGTCGATCCAGATTTTCGGGCTTCTCGGGCAGTACTTTTAAAATTCAATTTAAGGAGCAATAAAGAAGAGATAAGCAGGTAAATTTTGATAGTTTATTCATTAGCAAATACAGCATGCTTCATTTATCAAAACGAGCAGTTTTAAAGAAAAATAAAGTCAACACTCAACAAAAATGTAAACATATACATTTATCACTACAAAAAACGGCGTGTAATGTTTGAAATCATGTTTAAAAATAAACATTGTAAAAGAAAAAAAAAAGTAAACCAATGAAAGCGGAAGCTATTTATTACAGAGAGTTAAATTTGAGTTTTCGAAAAGTCCAGATTCTCGGGTGGTCCGGATTTTTGGCATGCGGATTTTCGGACTTCTACTGTATAGTCGTTTACACATCCCTACTTCACGCAGCCTGTACGACAGCCAGCAGACCAAACTACGAGCTCGCTGGCTATTACAGTTATGTACAGTAGTACAGTAGTAGCTATTACAGTTAGTACAGTCACACGTTCACACTCACATGTCCCATCATGACAAGCTCTCTCTGCGCGGTGGTAGCCGACTTGATGAGAGCAGCAATGGCAGATGTCAAGGACTTGGCCGCTTCTAGAATCTGTTCCTCAAAGTTCATGTCCTGTCCATTCTCCTGAGCAAACAAAATATAACGAGTAAATAAATGCACGCCAGATATGAACGAGATAGATTGGCCGCTTCAAGAATCTGTTCCTCAAAGTTCATGTCCTGTCCATTAGTAAACAAGATATAATGAGTAAACAAGTGAGATTTCATTCAACAACGAGAGAACAACGAGAGAGTGGGTCAACAGCATTAGTCCACAATGAGCATTCATTCAATAAATGAATACACACCAGATATGAACGAGATAGATGGCAGAACAGATGGCAGCAGAGGTGGGTTGCGCGGTGACACGCTCATTTTACCTCGCATGCGCATGACATGACACCGTGATTACTGACGTTGCACTAGAGATGGCAGCAGGTGTCTTCACTCGGTTATACGCTCATTTTACGTCGCTGCGCGTGGCACAACATTGTAATTACTGACGTTGCACTATAGGTGGCAGGAGGTGTCTTGCTCGGTGATTCAATGACGCGCTGCATCATATGCTTGATATATGGTTGTTTGCAATGCCCAACCAAATATATCAAACATATCTAGCAGCGTCGTCATGTCACGTCGGTCGTGCTTGTGGTCGCGACAGCTGTCGTCTGCTGAGCTTCCAGCCTCCCTAATGGATTGTGTCACCAGCCGGAGTGTAGTCTATTGTCAATGGCAACTTGTGCGCGACATTTAACGAATTCACGCTACTGAATGTGTGCGGGCGATTCTCACACTCAGGATTATCCTCAAATGACAATGGAAGGAAGGATAAATGGATGGATATATAGATGGGTGGATGGATGGATTGATGAATGGATGGATGGATGGTTGGATGGATGGATGGATATATGGATCGATGGATGGATGGGTAGATGAATGGATATATGGATGGACGTATGGATGGATGGATGGATGGATGGATGGATGGATGGATGGATGGATGGATGAATGAATGGATGGATGGATGGGTGGATGAATGGATATATGGATCGATGGATGGATGGGTAGATGAATGGATATATGGATGGGTGGATGGGTGGATGGATGGATGGATGGATGGATGGATGGATGGACGTATGGATGAATGATAGAAGGAATAGGAAGGGGATGAGAAGAGGAAGGGAGGAGGGTGAGGAGGAGTAGAGGGAGTGAGGAGGAGTAAAAAAGTGAGTAGAGGAGGAGGCAAAGGGAGGAGGCTGCTCACCTTCTGCCGTACGTTGGTCGGTCTCATCATCGCAAGCTTGCGGCTGGCTGCCTCGATGGACGCCGCCGCATCCAGCAGCTCCCTCTCAGCTACCATGTGGTAGTTACCCTCCGGCCAGTCTCCATCTGCAACACACACATGCGTGGTTAGAGAAGGCGAGAAGAAAGATGAGGGGACAAGGGATGCGAAGAGGGGGCGGCAGCGAATGTGTGGTGGAAAGAGATGGAAAGAGAGAAAGTGATAGATAGAGAGAGAGAGAGTGAGAGAGAGAGGGTGAGCGGGAGAGAGGAGGAGAGGGAGAGAGCTAGGGAGCAACAGAAAAAACGGGAGAGGGCGAGAGAGAGAGAGGTGGGGGGAGCATCCTGAGACATCTTTCAGGGCTCTACCTGCCGGATACATCAGATGCGTATCCTGATCTGCATGCATTCGTTCCTCCTGCCTGTTCAAGCATGCACCACCGCTGTCTTGCTCCCAACCCCAAGCGGAGAAACCGAGCACGATACACGTCAAGATAAATCAACCGAATATAATATAAAGAATAAATAAGAGAAGCAAAAAAAACCAAGCAAAACCGAAATGCCAAACCGACGGAAATCGAAACAGCGCATGCATCCGCGCCGACACATGGCGGCGGAGACCGCTCCGCGACGAGATCTCGCGACATCTCGCGAGACGGGCGCGTGCGCACCTTTGCGGAGGATGCCGGCGGACGTGGCGACGTTGTACTCGCGCCTCGTGACAAGGCGGTGCTTCACACCGGTCTCGTTCTCCCACTCGTACACCTCTGCGCAGAGAAACACGCGCGACGATGCGTGAATGTTACCAACCAGCAGCGTCCACTACTCTCTAGCTGCTCGCAAGATGGCCGCCGTCAAGCAGCAAGGCCGAAGCAGCAGCAGCAGTAGTAGTAGTAGTTGCAGCATGAGCCGTAGTAGCAACAGCAGCAGCAACAGCACCACCACCACCAGCAGCACCACAAGCAGCAGCAACAACAACACCACCACCACCACCACCAACAGCAGCATCAGCAACAGCAGCAACAGCAGCAGCAGCAGCAGCAGCAGCAGCAACAGCAGCAACAACAACAGCAGCAGCAACAGCAGCAACAGCAGCAGCAGCAGCAGCAGCAGTAACAGCAGCAGCAGCAGAGGCCGACGACGCGAACGGCGAGCGAACGGGACGAGAGATGACAATATATTCTATACGACGAGAGAGCTTATAGATGCTAAAAACAGAACTTGAACTCTCGAAGTTGAAGCGAAATCATAAAAACTGAAACGTAGAATCGAAACTATATGCCTTTAATTTCTCGCTGTCGAACGCAAAATAAACGACGGTCTAGACTATAGAAGAGTCAACAAAAATCAACTTCCATGCTGTTGACCTATAGTTGAAACCTGCAGTGAATCAACACCTCAGCAGGGTTACGTAGCGTCGTCACACCATTCCAAATCCACAGACGTACAGACGCACACGCAGGCAAATCACACGCAAGACAGCCATGTTTGCATGCCATCATCCAATCCAAAGTTAGTGCTTCCAAACACGTCGGTATATTAAGGGAAGTTCACTGGCGGATCGGGAAGAGTGCAACGTATATACACAACCACTATATATATGAGCACAGAGACACACAGACGAAACAGTCAACTTCGCATATATATGTCATATTACATACTCGCATACTAACTGGGAAATTATTATCATGTACAGAAAGTGAGATTGGCGTGTAGTTCCAGCTGACTGTTATATTATTTTTAATGCGCACATGTGAATTATAAGGTTACACAGATACCTCACCATGGTACGTTGACTGCTGCCTAGTTTACTTTGCTGCAATATATATATAAGCACGTGTGTGTGCGCGCGCATGTCTGTGTGTGTATGTGTGTGTGGGCATGCGTGCGTGCGTGCGTGCATGTCTATGAGTCATACGACATATGATTCAGCGAGATCTCTGTGATCTCAGCTTGATCAGGATATAAGGCAGTGTGATATATGCGGTATATATGCGAGATTGTCCGTACACAAATACATTACTACACAGCTATGTAGCATAACACAGTTCAAAATATACACAGCTCGCCCAATGTTGCAAGTAAAGTTTCGCCCAATGTAGGGAATCACATGCCAACACACTCGGCTCACAACTCACGACGCACTGAAGCAGGGATGAGACAGAAGACAATTCATGCCAGGACAAACAAAAACTGCAGAAACAGCAGCAGCAGCAGCTGCTACAGCAGTAGTATAATCGTCAGCAGCAGCAGCAATAGTACCATCGTCAGCAGCAGCAGCAGCAGCAGCAGCAGCCGCCACAGCAGCAATACTAGCGTCAGCAGCAGCAGCAGGAAATACTGATGCTGAGAAATTACACCGAGAATGCACACACACACATACACACACACAGAGACACGACAACAACCATGCAATCGTAAGCTACCACCACACTAACACGACAACGACAGCAACACGCCATGCCGATTCCCTCATGCTACTCACACTAGCGCGACTGATTACATCTCTACCACCACAGCCCCCTGACACACATCCGTGTACATCGTACGCATCGTGTGGGAGAGGCAGTTCAGGACGGTAGCCGGTAACTCTACACAACCATGAAAAGCGAATCCAAAAGCACACACACACATACACGGACGCTCAGAATGGTGCAATTAACAGCTCGACAAGCATTTCTTCCCCTGGCAGCCTCCTCTCAGCGACCATAGAGGGCGACACGTGCAAACCGGAACGAGTCCGGAAACCAAACCATGCTGAATCCGAGCGCGTGCAAGCCTGCCGGATCGAGCCGCCAGGTGGCGCTACAAACCGACGACTAGCATGCACAACGAGGCGATGTTCGCAAACCTGGTGCGTGCGTGCCGTGAGCTTTCGAGACGACAATCTCGTGCTCTCCGAATCTGCTCGAGCGCGGCCGCGTCTGTATCGTCAACTCTGAGTGGTAGTTCTCCTCGTCTGCAAAGCATACGCGGGGCGGTGAACGTGGGGTGCGGGGACGCGCTCGCACTCACACGCACGCATGCACACACTGCAACACACACACACACACACACCCTTACCGCATAGCAGCCACGGTACACACACAGCGCACGCCGCCTACACCACGCACGGAGCGCGCACACACATCATATACACGCACACCGCACACGCAACACGCACACGCACACCGCACACGCGGTATACCGAGGTATTCACACGCACGACGCTACACACGCACGCACCACACACACCGACCACGGGTGGAACAATGGACATTGCGGTGGCGGGAAGCTGCAGCTTCCCTTTTGGTCTTTTTTGCAGCACGTTTCCCGTAAGAAACGCTGGCTCCGTGTGTTTTCCTGTGTGCTCAACATTCGTTATCATTCTGGCATGTTTCGAGTGAATCTGCGCATCTTGTTGCTGCTAAGCAGAACTGGTGGAAAGTTTGCCGCGAGAAACGCACATGTGCAACGAAAAACGAACATCGGCTCTAACCCTTTATTCAACTTTGCCCTAGACGAAACCTTGGGTGACCCACCTACACTTAGCTCTAACCCTTTACTCAACTTTGCCCTAGACGAAACCTTGGGTGACCCACCTACACTTAGCTCTAACCGTTTACTCAACTTTACCCTAGATAAAACACTATGAGTATGTAAATCAACTAAGGACAATCCTAATTCGTTTCGAATCGCCTAGATGAAGTGACCCACCTATAGCTGGCTCTAACCCTTTACTACACTCTGCCCTAGATAACGCCAAGTGTGACCCACCCCCACTAACTCTAACCCTTTACTACGCTCTGCCCTAGATGGGCTTCGCCCCAGCTTTGCGAAGGGGTTAACATCTCCTTCCCCTCGCAGCTCTCACCTTTCAGGTACTCGGCGTACTGCACGAGCTCGGTGATCGAGGACGCGATGCGGCGCGAGACGATGATCAGCTCGGACTTCATCGGCGTGCTCGGGTCGCGCACAATCTCCAGCAGGATGCTGAGCAGGTGGCCGTAGTGCGCGGCCGACTCGCGACATGCCTCCATCACCTTCTGACGCGCCTCCTCGCTCTCCGTGTTGTACGCGATCGCCTGCGCGGAGAGGGGAGAAAGAAGAGAAGGAGGGAGGTTAAACACAAAGTGTTTCAGGGAAGCGCCGTTAGAAACGTCGTCCATCACCTTCTGACGCGTCGCCTCGTTCTCCGTGTTGTACACGATCGCCTGCGTGGAGGGGAGGGGGAGAAAGAAGAGAGAAGGAGGGAGGTTAAACCCGAAAAACTCAGGTTTTTAGTGTGTGGTTTAGTGTTCAGGGAAGCGCCGTTAGAAACGTCTTCCATCACCTTCTGACGCGCCTCTTCGTTCTCCGTGTTGTATGCTATTGATTGTATGGAGGGGGAGAGAGAAAGAAGAGAAGGAGGAGAGACGTTAGAACGGCTTTTCAGGGCAGCGCCATTAGAAACGTCGTGAATGTGTATGAATATCGCGAGAGAGAAGGTTAGACCCGAAAAGCTCAGGTTTTTAGTGTGTGGTTTAGTTGAGTGTTCAGGGGAGCGCCGTTAGAAATGCCGTGAATGTGCGTGAATATCACGAATGTGAAATGACGTGTCTTTTGAACGGTGAATTCTTAGGAATAATTATCATGAATGTGAAATTACATGCCATTCGAACAGTGAATTCTTATGAATATCGTGAGTGTACATCGCTTCGCACGCAAAAGTTATGACATTTTACATTCATGTCGCGGACTATTTAGGTTTCCGACCACGGGTCTCTGCATCCTTGATGGGACATAAGGTTTTTATTACGCTTTAGTTGGATCGTGCTTTTTTCATCGCAGAAGGGACGTAACTAAGGTTATTTTTAACGATTTTTCGGCTAGAACGTGGTTATAATCAGGTTAGCCTCTAAATGTGAAATATTACCTTGCAATTGACAAGCAGATCGATAACATGTGAAATATTACCTTGCAATTGACAAGCAGATCGATAACTGCCTTGCGTCCCATGTTCGCTGCAACAATGGCGTCGTGTTGTTGCCCGCTGTTGCCGGCGGCAACCGTGCGAGCTGTGGCACTCGTGATTGGTCGGGTGGACTGCAGGAGATCCTCGATGGTTGCCTTCCTCCTCGGTGGCTCGGCGGAGTCGAATGACTAACGACGGAATGAACACTCGATGAAGCGTGACACAGACGCACGAACCTCTACACGTGTGTAGCTCTAGGCTTGTCTATAGATATGTTTTGTAGTAGTTCGTAATGAGTAATTGTTGGGTCCCCTTATGTGTGCGAGGGGTATGTAACTTCATTTTGATACTAAAAGCGTAACTAATAATTCGAATTATTTAGTGTCCTTAAACTTAAATCACGAAAACGATCATGACAATGCTGGCAATAACGAATGTTGGGTTGACAATGATAATGACAATGACGGTCACAATGAATGGCACGTTAACAATGATGACAATGGTTATGACAACAAATGTCACAGTGGTGATAGCAATGTGTGTCATAATTACAATGACGATAACCATAATGACAAGAATGGAGGTAATGGTTACACAATGTGTTGCATTGATAATGATGATGGCCGTGATGATGACAATCGCGATGACAATCATGAGCTGTTGCAGGAACAATGAACTGACGTTGACAATAGTAACACAACAGTAATGGGACAACAGTGATGACAATGGTAACACAACAGTAATGGGACAACAGTGATGAAGTGGTGACAATGGTAACACAACAGTGATGAAGTGGTGACAATGGTAACACAACAGTGATGACAATAGTAACACAACAGTAATAGGACAACCGTGATCAGAAGTGTATAATATAGATATCTATATTATATTAGAATTTATATTATACACTCCTGCAGTCATGACAATGGTAGCACAACTACAATGAGCATTCGCATTGACAAATATCCACTCTACAAGAGAACGACTGCAACAATGTTCCAACAATGGCGCTACACCCTGTGGGTGGCACTTGCAATCACTTTCCCCAATCATTGTAATCTGTCCCCATGTGTCAACAGTGGGGAGAAAGATCAAGTTATTTTCGTGTAAGGTGGATATTTGGCAATGCAGAGCAGCAGCAGCAGGCGATCTTACCTTCATCTCTGAATCTATCGCCGATATCGCGCTCTCGACAGCGCGAGTGCCCCTAGCCGCCTCGTCCTCAACCGTCTTGACGGTCTTCAGCAGTGACGTCACGTTTGTCACCATCACCTAGGCAACCAAGACGTAAACATGGTCAGCAGCGGGGAAGAAGCAGATCTCAGGGTGTTGTTGTTTAATTCGGAGCAACAGCGCCGGGGAGGTGGGGGGGTTTCACACATTCGGTTTCCGGCCGCGGGGGTTACTGCGTGCGGTAGTGTGCAGCGAGTAACCCCCCGCCGGGCCCCGCCACGCTGCGTCCAGTCCGACCGCCGCCGAATGTCGCCGCCAAACTAAGAACGAGCGCAGACGAAAGAAACGCAGTTTCGGCGAATTCGAATCGTGAGGGTTGAGATTCCGAAGCTGTCGGACTGGATTTTGCGTGGTTTTGCGGGCATGCACGGTTAGATGTAATCACAGGAAACGAACCGAACGGCAGTGTTAACGACAAGAATATTCGCAATACGAACATACAAATATACGAAAAACAGTAGCTAGTTGTTACATTAGTCGTCTGATAGCAGCATAGCATGATAGTACACCTGATAGTGGCTATTAGCAGGCAGTCAGCCGTAAACATTCACTCAACACGTAAAACAACTGCGAGAAATCAATACTGCTTGATAATTCATGACAGCATGTGACCAGGGGAGCGGGAGAAAGGCGATGGGATATGATTAGGAAGTGGAGGTGGCATGGTCTCGCATGACTCATCTTATCAACATGGCGTCGTAACATGAATGAAGCTCAATTCCATGTTATTATTACAATGAATGCAAGAACACATCGATAAAGATTGAACGTACTTCAAAAAATGTGACAGAAAATAATTTTCAACATAATAATTACATAGCATAGAAGAAAAGCAACGGACGGCAATGAGTAAATGAGACAGAAAAGGGGAAAAGAGGGAGGGAGAGACAGAATAAGTGAGGAAGTGTGATAAGTGGGAGAATGAGAGAGCGCGAGAGAGACAGAGAGAGACAGATAGGAAGATAGGGAGAAAAATGAGAGAGGAGAGAGCGAGGGAGGGAGAGAGAAATAGATAGATAGATAGATAGATAGAGCGTGAGAGATAGATAGAATAAATAGAGAGACAGAGATCAACAGATAAGCGAGCAAGAAAAAAGAGGACAGGAGAAATGAACTGAAACCAATAGTTGCAAGCATCTACATAGAAGTGTAGCTCAATACAAATCTACCATTCCAGAAATAAATAAGCATTAGGCGAAAGCAATCACTACAATAAAGTGCATCGGAGAGCCACGTTACAATAATATATGCCACAGCAACATAAAATAATCTGGCAAATGTCTGCTTCTTCGATTCAACACCCTTCATTACCATCACCTTGTTTTAGGGGGACGCACAGCGTGTGCAAACCTGAATTTCTGGACGTGTCCCCAATGGCGACACTGACGTGACAATTTTTTTTAAGCGAAAATTTTCTCACACTGTGTGCTGTTATCACCATCACTATATAAACGCACATCGCGTGAAACCCCGCTCTGACCTCGTTTGACGCGAAGGTCAAGGAGGCGGCACGCGACGTGAAAATGTGAGATCTAAATAAGATCTACAAGAAATGGTAGAATGCCAGAAAGTCAGGAGTATGTTAGTCTGCCGCGTATCGGGCAGTGGCAGTCGGTCGCCATGGCAACGATCGTCACCATGGAGGTTAGCTGTATTAGTGTGGGGCGGCTACCTGAGAGGGGGGGGGTTGTTATATAGTGATGGTAATGACATCGGTGTCCACCGCTAACCACATTACTCACTTGGCATCAGTAGGATGAGCGCGACAAGTGGCAACCGATTGCGGTCGCCACGGAAACGTTCGTTGCCACAGCAACGAACCTTTCCACGCGAGACAACTGCGTCGGTACCTAACCAATGCGAGACCGAGAGCGCACGCGAGCGGCTGTCGGTACACATGGCGACATGCGCGACCGACAGACGCGCCTGTCGCGCGTGCATGCTCGCAAAAACTAAAGCAAGAGAAACAGACAGAGAGAGAGAGAGAGAGAGAGAGAAACCCAACCACCGCAGGCAGCAAGCTTGGCAGTGAAGCAGAGCAGAAGGAAGAACGATGACGCTGTCGTTAACATTCTGTTTTATTCTGATCATCATATATACGAGCAAGAGACACAGCTGCGACAGCACGGCTAGCAGCGCTGGTGGGCATGAGGGGGAGAAAACTCTCCAACCCTGTCGTACAAACACACGGCCATAAATATATATAATTATATATATATACACATATAATATATATATATATATATACAATGCTGTCGTGAAGGACTGATATGTATGATTTAAGGCATAGGCTTCCACTCTCTTGAAAAGCTACACACTCGGCTGTGACCACTTGCTATTTAAGGTATACATCACATATAGACTAGCAGTGTCACACCGAGTTATGGCGTGGGCATGACCTAGGCTGTCACATGCGACATGTAAAGCTAGCAATGCTATAAGCTTGCAGAGCTCAAGCTTCGACTTGGCTTGACTTGGCGTCGATGTCCGATTCGTGGCCTGTAGAGTACCGCTTGTTTCGGGGCACGGTGAAACACACCACTCGCGAATTATACCACCTGCTACACACATAACCAAGAGCTAATAATACATATCTGTATAATTAGACCTTCATATAACAGATGCAGATCAAATAAAACCACTGTTTATGCAAAGCTCGTCTGACAAAGGGTAGGTGAGACAAAAACTTATATGAACCTTCGCTCTCCCGCGGTAGAATGGAGAGTGGGTATGGCCCCCTTCACATTCCTAAGTGATAAAGATGCGCTATAAAGATACGGTGCTTATTACCAACAAATGCATAAATAATAAATATAGTGCATAAACGACTGAAAACGAGAAACTAAAACCTAACGACTAGAACATATACGAGGAACACAACCTCAAGAAATCAGAGGATCCCTATGATTGTGCAGCGTCGCAAGACTGCGCGTAAACATCAACTTATACTAACTTTCTATGCTATGTCAGTTGACAATCTACAACAATGGTCATCCCGTGCGACCAGCGGCCAATCAGACAACTCGCCAGACGTGACGTGGCACGACCTATAGTAGCTACAGGTGACCTCTAGAACGCACTCATCCTACTGTTTTCAAAATTACAGCGCCCGAGCAACAGCGGTACCAGTAAGCCAGCAGCTGCAAGATATCAAGACTCCATGATAGAAATGTTCTATTATTGACTCTTGAAGATATGTTTAATCTGTGACGCGTTCATCGGCCGCTTTCCTGTGTTTCCATGACGACGATCACGTTCGGAGCACACGCCTGTCTTTGCCACGTGAGTGGTTTCCATAACAAGGAGGGAGGTCCGATCTTGATATGCGTTTTTTGGCGTTTCATACTTCTTTTGCACGATGTGTAAACAAATGGAAAAACCTGCGACTCTCAATACCACAAGTCCGCAACGAATCCAGAAGTCAAACAGTAAACACAACCACATCTTAGCATACAAAATGGCTGCACCAGTGTATTGTATTATCGCTTTCAGCTTACATGTGTATTGTGTACACATATTGTAGTGACGTCATTAAACTGGGTTGTCGTCTTCCGGCTTGATCTCGCGTTACAAGTGTGACTTATTTGCAATGTGTTATTCACCTAATATTGGCGTGGTGGCAGCTGTATTCTTACCCATACCTCACTAAAAACACAGGCGAAACATTTGTGTGATAATTCCTGCAAGGCAAAAGTCACCAGAGTCCGTTGCAGTATACACGAAATCAAGCCGGAAGACGACAACCCAGTTTAATGACATCACTACAACATGTGTACACAATACACATGCAAGCTGATAAGCGATAATACAATACACTGGCGCTGACAATGATTACACTAACTATACCGACAAGTTCGTTCGTTTCCTACACACGTGATTACAGCAACCATGTTTTTTTCTCTAAAATATATCTACACATATTTCTATATCTATCGCTATAAAGGTGACTCAACATTGTCACGCAAAAAGTTGTAGCAAATATTCAAGATGGCACTTTGGCGAATCTTACAAAAAATTCAGATTCAAAACGGCATCGCAGAAGGCATTGTTGCACCACCTGCTAGCTTAGCCACCACACTGTGCTCTCTTTGCACTTGGGAAACAGCACCTGATGGCCAATCTGAAGCTGATCCTACGTCTTTGTATAAACGATTGCACCCCCGACCCGGAATCAAATGACATCCCATGGATCATTGGATAGCGGAGTCCTTGCAAAGTACGCAGTGTAAAAGCTGTTCTCTCAACTGGATCCACCCCCAATTGTTATACAGAGCAATGGTGCAGACCCTGATAAGACATCCTGTGGATTCAACTCATGGAACCAAATTCCTTTCACTCCACTTCGTGCTCACTGACTTTCGATCCCCTAACCCACATCAACCCCCTTATCCATGAGCTCACCATAGACGCCACACACATGCGCACACAGCAATGACTCCCCTGATTCCTCCCCCACGGCTACCCCTCTACACTAAGCTATGCATGGCAGTGTTCATTGCTTGCAAACAGCAGCTACCCTCCCATCCCACCCGCAGACGCTCACACATCGACTCCCCTCACCCCCTTCCCTCCCTCCCTACCCACCCCTCTATGATATTGCACTAGGGGGCAGCGAGAGACAATAGGGACAATAGGCAGCGGCTACCCTCTGTCGGACCCTCGTTCCTTCCCTCCCTACCCCCTCTCCACCACATATCGCACTCGTGTTAGGCGCGGTGAGGGCTCACCCCTCCCTCCCTCCCTACCCGCCTAGCCACCCCTCTACGATATCGCACTAGGGCGCGGGGAGAGAGAGGGACACGCGTGGGGCGGAAGAGCCGCTCAGCTCAGCCCGCCGCCTGCGCGGAAGCGGCGTTGGGACGCAGCGCACGCCACGGTGCTTCCAGCATCAAGCGTATCACCTTCGCCGAGCCCTTCAGGTTCGCCATCGCCGGGTCGTGCACGCTCTTTCCGGACGCGTTCTTCGTCGCAGAGATGAGGTCGCCGAGCGCGAGAGCGACGTCCTTGACGGCGTTGATCAGCAGCACCTGGTGGCGAAAGCGCGAAGCTTTACGGTTGAGGTCAACACTTCATGGTCAAGGTCGTACGAACGCGGAGGTGGAAGGGGTGGGCAGTGCTGGAGGCGTCGTCAGATGCAACGTGAACAGAATATGACTATCCCAAGTTAAATAGAGTAATATATATTATATATATATATTATATATAATATATATATATATATATGTATATGTATATATTATGCTTTAGGTAATTTAAAGCCATCTATATTTAATTAAATATTTTATTAATACTTTTGCCCTTTATGCTTGTAAAGCTC